AGATAATTGTACTACTAATTTCTATTAGTTCACTGAAAGGAACAGTTAGTGTTAATATTGTTTGATCAGTCTTACATGCTTATATCTGGTAATCTGAGCAATTGCTTTCAAGGTAACAATATGCAATATAATAACCATTGCTAATTTCCTATCATCTTGTTTTGCAATTCTGTATTGTTTTTATTATTTTTAAATTGTCTTTAAAATAAGAAAAAGAAAGATCCCTTCTGCTCATTTTCAGTTGATTCCCAGTCCCACTGTCCACCCAGGCAGCTAGTAATCTATTTTCTGTCTCTAAACATTTACCTTTTCTGAACATTTTATGCAAACTGAATTATACACTGTGCAGTCCTTTGTGTCAGGCTTCTTTCATAAAGTATAACATTTTTGAAATTTATCTATGTTGTGACATGTGTCTGTAGCTCATTTCTTGAAATGATAATATTATGTCATATTGTAGGGGGCGATGACTCTTAGCATATCATTTTAAGATAGAATAATTCTAGTCTTAATGTAAGCCTCAAAATGTGTCTTGAGAAACATCCCAGAGGGGTTGTAAAGAGTTAACTTTGCAGTCCTGACTTAGCCCTGGAATTCTTCTCCAAAGACAAAGAACACCAGGGCCCAGATAACCACCTATGGCCCTGCCTGGGTTGTTTCAGCCCTTCCCTGGCCCTAGATAAACATTGTAACCATAAAGGAAATGTACGGTTATCTCAAGGGGACATATAGAACAGAGTACAGAAAGCAAATATCACTGTAGTTGGGTTCATGTGGTTGAGCTTGACCCGGTTACGTGGCACAAGGAAAACAACATGTGGCCAGGGCTACAGCATTCCAATCTGTTACCATGGAAACCAAAAATGTATATAAGTTGGGAACAAAGGCAGGTCCACTCCCACTTCTCTGACTTGCAAGTTGGGATGAGAGGTGACTGGTCTAAATTAAAACTTTGTTCTCTTTGGTCTCTTGCAGAATACAGCCTGAATTTTCGCCCTAACACTATAGACACATGTACTACAGTTTACTTATCCACTGATCTATTGATGAGCATTTAGGTTGTTTGCATTTCCATCTACTATAAATAATACTTACATAACATTCATGTGGAAACCCTTGCATACCTTTTTAAAATTTTTTCTTGGGTAGATAACCAGGAGAGGAATTACTGGGCCATGTGACAAATTTAAGTTTAACTTTTTGAGAAACTGCCAAACTATTTTCTAAAGTGACTGTACTATTTTACATGCCCACCAGGAAGGCTTTTATTTCTCCATGTCTTTGCCAACACTCATTATTATTGTTTTGATTATAACCATTCTGGTGGATATGAATCAAAATACTGCATGTGAGTTCCATTCACATAGTTGCCCATATTAATAGTTTATTCCTATATATTACTCAGTATTATTATTATCTGTAAATATTCCACTTAGAAAAAAACCTATTCATGGGTACTTGGGTGGTTTTAGTTTGGAGACATCATAAATAAATAAATAAATATTATAAGGATTATTGCACAAAATTTTTTTAATATATATTTTTATTTCTTTGAGATTTTTAGAAGTAAAACTGCTAGAAGATAAGAGAGATGTATATTTAACTTTATGAGAAGCTGCAAAGTAATTACATTATTTTACACTCTCAGTAACATTGTATGAAAGTTCCACTTGCTACATATACTCACCAAATTCAACCTTTTATTCTAATTTTTCTATATTACTACTCTTAAGGTATAATAAAGACATTGTACATATATGTTTCCATATGTGTTTTACACTTCTTCATTATTTAGGGATAATACCACATTTTCTATACATTAAATTACATGTTATTGGAACTTGCTTCATAAAAACCAGTGGGAGAGACAAGCAAGGTGTGAGCTTGAGTTAGATTTAAAAAAAGAAAAAAGAAAAAAGAAAAAAGAAAAAAAAAGAAGCCACGAGTGGTCGGCTTTGTAACTGGGGGATGGGTACCTAGGGGTTCATTAAACTTTTCTCACTAATTCTACATTTAAAATATTCATAATATTATATATGATTCATAATATTAAATATTAAATTCACAATATCAAATGTTATTAATAATATTAAAACTTGAAAAACATACACATTTTTTTAAAAGGAGACCCACCCCAGACCCCATCTGGAAATCCAGGAACTGGTCTCCTTTTTATTTCCAATAAAAAGTTTCCTAACCTCAAAAATAAAAACAGTAAATGAAAAGGAACCAAGTATTTAAGCTGTTGAACCAGCCATAGTACTTCCTCCTCGAACTTGTATCATTGTCCCGTAAGTGCTGCTTCTTGGCAAATAACTGTCTCAGAACACAGAAGATATGAGAGCCTTCTACTGCACACAACTTCTTCAAAACGTCAATATTCTGTTTAAAAAGAATCTACAGAATATAAATGTTATATTCAGTAATGTTATGATATTATTGCTCCATGATTTGATTTTTCCAGTGATAAGTCTTAACAGTGAGAAAATTTGATCATTTTAGTGCTTTTCTGACTAGCACAGGCGATTCTGTGCTTTCTTAGGAGAAATACCAATTCTTAGGAGATCCTGACTGCGTCACTTGTTCATTCCATCTTTGGGAGAATCCCTGGGAAAGGTAGAATTCATGAACAACGGAACTTCTTTTCCGCCTGTAGGCACCTTAATATTGCAGGAATATGAAAACTACTTAAAGCCGTTACAATCAAACTTTATTAAGTCAGTAGCATTATTTTTACATCTTAGGGAAACTTACTTCTGACCATTGAAGAATAAAAGATAAAGACACATCTTGGGAAGTAGACTTCTAATTTTTATTCTCTTATTGTCTTAGAAGTTGGGTCTTATATTTATTAGTGATATTCCACCTGCCAAATAATTGACATTCTCATCTATAAGTTTACAAAAGCACAATAAGAACACTACCTAGCCCCAGTCACCCACGACAACTGACCATCCATTTTGTTACCTCAGAATACAGTCCAGAGAAAACAGCTCGTGCTAAGCATCATTTCTAAGGCAGTTACTTACATCTGCTTGGAACAAGGACTAGAAGGCTCCTATTCGCAGTAGCTCTAACAGCAGTTTTTCATTTCCAAGCACACATAGTACTCATTTAAAACTTACAAAGATAACAGGTGGATAATCTCTCCTTTCTTCGCAAGGTTTGATTGGTGTTTTCACTCTGTGGTCTTCTTTGTGAGAATATGATTTCATGAGAGTCACTTTAGTTCTCCAAGTCTGGGATAGAACTGAAGTGTTACATTTTGGTTGTTAATTGTGAAATCTTGAAATACATTTTCACTCACTTTAGAATCTTACATGCCAAAAAACTACACTCCAGGCGTCCTGAGTTATTTAACTTCATTGTGTTCAATTCTAGATTCATGAACTGCTTTTAACTTGAATTCGGATGGATTATAAGTGATTACGGTAAATGTAAATGGCGCTAGACAGTGCCCAAATCCTGTACCTCTCCAACGGAAGGACTCTTAAACATCACAAAGATGTCTTCTCATGAATTATGTTAAAAATAACATCAATGGAATGTTATTTCTAAGTGCCCTTCTTACACTGGAGTCTAAGTAACTTAGACGTGAAAATGTAAAGCTTTTACGTTTATTTTATGAATGAACTTTCTGCACATTTAAATATTTAAAGTTACCTTGCCTTGACTGCCATTATCTAAAAATTATTTACTAGTTTTCCTCAGTCTCTTGGAGAATTAATCAAAAGTCCAGGCTAAGCCTCATATTTTAGTCTCATATTTGGCATTTTTTCATGGATGTACTGCGCCCAAAGCAAGATTTGGCTGCATATATAGAAACAAAAAGTTTGGATTTCTGCTTAAGTGGGCAAGAGGTGTTGAATTTGAGGCGGTGAAACGAACCAAGCATGTCATTTCTCAGTATAATTGCTCTTTGAGCAACTGTTCTTTAAAAGTTTCACCATCCAGGCTATGCCCATAACTTCGGAGTGGCAGTAGATTTGTGGACAAGCAGTTGGGTGTGGTTATCAATTTCCTACATTTTGTGAGCACAATGATATTGTTTGGTGATAGTCACAAGACTGTGGTCTCATAAGCTCTCAGGGAATAACCATGGGGACTGTTCAGGGTTCCACAGAGTCACAGTAAATATTATATAGATGGGACAAGTGGAGCTGTGGAGGGTAAGTGGCTTTCTCAAGGACACATGGTAAACGGCAGAGTCTGCACTCAGACCTAGCACTGTGTAACCAGAAAGCCTGTTTCGTTTCTGCCCTGAGTGGGGTCCCCACCGGTGCCGAACAAACATTCTGGGCGTGGGTGGTATTTACCCAGCACAATCCAAGCCTGAGTTATACGGTAGTGATGACGACAGCGTCTGCAAACCAGTGTCATCATTTTGAAATCCAAAAAGATAGGATGCAACTAGGAGGAGGACCAGAAACTGGGGGTGAGGAGGGGATATAAGGGAATTCAGATGTGTTTTCTACAGGCATCAGCTCCCCAAGATGGATGTGATCATTACATACCGCAAACATATACTGATAAAGATAAAAACATTTTAAAGGAACAATAACAACAAAATGTTGAAATCTGAAAAGCCCTAAACTACATTTTCATAAGTCATTTAGCAGTAAAACCTGACCTGACCTGAATTCACTTGGTGATAAAACTTGGCTTGAGATATAAAGACTATTCATGGTTCTTCTTTTTCCCATTTAGAGTAAATATTCATATATCTTGCTGCATAAGTATTAATGTGTAGCCGGGCACAGTGGCAAACACCTGTAATCCCAGCACTTGGGAACCCGAGGCAGGAGGACTGTTGGGAGTTCGAGGCCAGCCTGGGCTACATAGTGAGAGCCTGTCTCACAAAGATAAATATATATATATGTGTGTGTGTGTTCTTCAGAAGGCTGAGGCAGAAGGATCACTGCGAGTTTGAGGCCAGCCTGGGCTACAAAGTGAGTTCAAATCCAGCCTGAACTGCGCAGTGAAACCCAAGACAAAAAACTGACAAACAACACACACACACACCACAAGAAAAACAAAAAGACCTCCATCACCTTGGGTGGAGGACCAAAACCTCCCTAACCTGCTCCTTCCTGGAAAGTCCTTGTTCATCCATGTGCACTTCCTAGGTGACTTGCTTCCCCATTTGATCCCTATTTAATCCATATTACCTAAGCGACTTGAAATCTTATTAGTTAACTACAGTTTTTTCTCACTTTATATCCACCTTACCTCATGGTTTTACTCTATAAAGCTCCCTTGAGAAGCAAGTTCCCCAGGCCAACCACCTGGGAACCCCTTCCGTCCCTCTTAGACAGAAGCTTTCTTTCTCTCAATGAATATTTGTTACTCTTAAAAAAATGAGTATTGTGTTCATTACAGGACTCTTCCCCAGACAAAGTAGGGGTTGTCAGGTAACACATGATAAATTTATGGTATTATAAGTATTTTTATAATTCTGAAACACATTTGGCGTAAGGGTTTCAGATAAAAATTATAGATCTGAAAAATAATAATATTAATGCAATATCAACGATAACAAAATTTATATCCTAGTTTGATCTTATCTTTATTTTTAAACAAAATACTAAATACTTTCAAATGTGTATCTCTTATGGGATTTATCCTCATAATGTGAATGTGATACTTCCTAACTTGTCTGGATATATTTGACCTGGTTATCTATTTAGAGCGAGAAAGAAATAAATCCCGTCTGAAGATTTATATAGTGTTGTTAAGAACGTAAATTATTATAGCTACTATGAAAAACAGTATAGAGATTCCTGAGCAAACTAAAACTAGAACTACCATATGATCCAGCAGTTCTACTACTGGGTATATACGCAAAGACACAAAATATTTATGTCCAAAAATTAAACTTCTATGCTTATTATAGCACTGTTCACAATAGTGCTAAAATACAGAACTAATCTACATACTCAGCAGTGAAAGAATGGATAAAGACAAGGTGATATACGAAATATTATTGAGCTGTAGAAAACAATGAAATTCTGTCATACATAGCAGCTTAGGTGGAACTGGAGATCGTTGTATTAAGTGAAATAAGGTAGGCATAGAAAAGCAAATACCCTGAGTTCTCACTTATTTGTGGAAACCAAAAAGTTGAGCTCGTAGAAAAGAATGGAATAGTTAACCAGATACTGGAAAGGACAGGAGTAGGCGGGTTGTAAGGAAGCCCAATAAGGTGCACAGAAATGCAGGAGGATTAGTTCTGACTTTTATGTAGCGCAGTAGCATAACTATCGGTTAAAACAACCTACGGTATATTCCAAAGTGACCAGAAACATATGAAATTCTAATCATGCAAAAACAATTAATGTTCAAAGAATGGATGCTTATTTCCCTGACTTATTACGCATTATAAATATGTACCAAATTACCATAATGTATCCAGTAAATATGTATAATATGTTTTCTTCTAAAAACTTAAAAAAGGAAACCAGTTCCTGAGCCTGATGTAAATCTAACCTCAAACTGAGTTTTAACTTCCTAAATAGGATTTAATTTAAATCAAAACTTAAATAATAAGTTTTGATGTGTGTGTGTGTGTGTGTGTGTCCTGAGCTTTTCCTAAATCTAAGTCACATTAGTGATTTTATTTTGAAAAGGATGGCATAAAAGTTTTATTTTATTGTCTTGAAATAAGACAACTTAGAAATACAGTGGTACCTCGGTTCATGAACTGAATTCATCCCATAATTCTGGGAAAGATGGCCAGGTTCATGTTCATAACCTGATGCAAAGTTCTTGAACAGAAGCAAAATTTTGCCAAATGCTTCTGTTCATGAACTGAGTTGTAGGTATGATTGCAACATGAAACAGGATTCTGCCAGACATGCTAAGAAAATGACAGGGTTAACTTAAACATAAAAAGTACTTTTGTTTCAAAAATTACAGATTATCTGTATGTATGTATGTATTTGTTACCAGGTCTCGCTGTGTTGTCTAGTCTAGTCCCCAAATCCTGGCCTCAAGTAGTCCTCCTACCCCAGCCTCCCAAGTAGGCGGCACTAGAGGCGTGCACCATTGTGCCAGGCTTTTAATTGTAACACAGTCAAGATATTTATTCTCAAAAAAAGATATTTATTCTCCAGAAAGTTTTATGTTAAAATTGCTTTCAAATATCACATTAGTTGCTTTCTAGATTAGTAGGTTTCAACCTTTTTTTTTTCTACCTCAACATACATAAAGGATTCAGCACATTCCTCCATTAATAGTGACTCTCAAAACAATTATTTATCCAACCAGCAATGTTTCTCATGCTTGGGGTCCAGCAGAACCAGAGAGTGGATCCATCTGAACTGAAGTAAAAATATAAGACATTTCACACGTTCACATTTCACAGACTCTGGAGGCTTACTTACTTCCTCTCGTAACAGCTTCCCTAGTTCAGCTTGTACTCTGCCAGGCTTGGTGCGGGCCTATTGTGGGCAAATCTAGAGAGGGTGCAAGAGGAAACAGAGAGTAAATATCAACTACAGCCTTGGAGTCATTTGCGGCAATGTAGACTGTAACCTGTTCCGTTGAGTTTCCTGAATTGAGTTTTTGGGTAGTTCGTGACCTATCACCGCTTTGAGTTTTGGACTTAGTGAAGAGTACAAATAGATCTCACAGTGCAAGGGGTGTGCAGAGTACAGCTGGCGTTACCATCACAACTCGCTGTGCACAGGCAAAACCTGACAGGCCCTTACCCTGATTCTGCAAAGTACTTTTGCCTTCTGCTCTGGTGCTTTGCTGCCACAGAATGCAGCACACCCAGGCATACACAATCTAAATGCTGAAAGTTTAAGGGAATCATTATGTTCTTGAAAAAAATCCTGGTAAGGAGCTGGGAGGGAGGTTAATAAATGCTGCTACCTCTCCTTCACGGAGTCATATTTTACAGCTCTTCAGAATATCCCAACTCATCAAACTTCAGTCATCCACAAATGATCAGCTTGATAACATGTCCTTGTCTCCTTTTCTTCCGTTTCCTGGATCATCTTCTAAAGAAACTAGCTCACGGGGAGACTTAGGATTGATTAGTCTTGCCTGTTACATGTTCTGTGGGGCATCCCTAGGAACATCCTTGGGTTGGATGATTTGCAAGGACTCACAGAACTCAGAAAAGCTCTTATACACATGATTAGTGCTTACTGCAGAGAAAGGATAAAGACTAAAGTTAGCGAATGAGAAAAGTGCTTGGGACAAAGTCCCGGAGAAATTATGCAGAAGCTTCCGGGTGTCCCCTTTCAGTAGAGTTGTGTGAGGATGCATTTCATTCTCCAAGCAATTCTCCAACATGTGTGAGGGATTTCACCAGGAGGCTCACCTGAGCCTTGGCATCTGGGGTTATTTTTGCAGGTCAATTATGTAGGTATGGCTGACCTTAATTACAAAGACTTCTGGCCCACCACAGGTCAAACTGATGTCTGGCCCAGGACCCTCTGGGTACAAAGCTGTTCTTATGGGGCAGGATATTTCAAAGACCCCAAGGTTACTTCCCCGTTTAAGTTTTCTTTGGAATGTGGAGGGTTTGAGTAGTTCAGGGCAACATGTCTTATCACCATAAGTAGAACATAGTATTCCAGGAACAGGATTATATATTTATAAAGTTTTCCCCCAAATAAAAACTTACCTATTTGTCTCTTTGTCAGGGTCAGAGTAAAGTAGCATTCCTAGATTCCTGAACCTAGTTTTCTTCCAAGGTCATGTTTTAGGATTACATTTGAGAAATATTCTGGCTCAACACCATCTTGAATGCATGCAGCTATATATCCTCATGGAACATGCAAAGAGTCCCACTTTGTTGACCTCCTACTGCGAATCTGGATCAGAAGGCAAGATTATTCTATGGGATAACAGTGCCCAGGAGGAAGTTCATTGATAATGCAGAGGAGTTCAAAGTCTAATTTTTCTCAGAACTTTTTTTAGCTTTACATTTTGCCTTCCTCCACCCACATATTCCAAACCAATTATCTGTAGGTGAAGGCCAGGCTCCCAGGTGATTGTAATGTGCAGCCAGAGCTGAGAACCATGAATCTAGAGGCCAGAATTTAAGAAAGGGCTTGGGTAGGCAGGCGCAGAAGAGTCCCCTTGGACTAATTAATTAGTGAGGGCCTAGGTGCCACTAAGAGTGGGATCCTTGGACCGCAGCATTGACTTCACCTGACAGCTCGATAGAAATGTAGAGTTTCAAGCCCTACCTAGACTTAAAGACTCAGAATCTTCATTTTAAGAAGGTTTTCAGGTTATCTATCTGGGCCTTACCATTTCAGAAATGATGACAGAGGAAACAGGACACCTCATTGGGTTTGAGGTGAGGTGACAGGAACCTTGGCCTAGAACATTCTTTTTTGTGGGTGGTTGATGAAGCATGAATCAGTTTCTGACCTTTTCCATTTCATTCAGTTTAACTACTTACAGTTGTTTTCAGGGGACAGGAAGGAAGGGGGTGAAAGATGACTGAATTTATTGCATCAGTGATAGAAATTTATACAATGACATATTAACGGTGGATTTCTACTATACGCCAAAAGTGGCCCAATCTCTTACAAAATAAAGATAACCATGTTTCAGTGAACTGACTAGGAATATTCTTTGACTTTTGATGGGTGGAATCTAGGGAAAGAAAAATCAGTAATTAATATCTCATAATCATTCTACTTCACTGTCTCCACTGATACTAAGTGGCAGTGCTATGCCAGATCTAGCCCTCCATAAAGGAATTTCAGGCAAATGCAACCAGCTGAGCTGACCAGCTTTGTCTCTGGACCATTCTTCCAGCAGGAGCCTGAAAAGAGAACTTGTGATCTTAAGACAATTGTCTACCAAACTCAGACCTTGATGAGGATGCCAATGAATCTTTTTTGAGCACTTACTATACACTAAATACTGTCCCAAGATGTTTATAAATATTAGTTTAGTTAATCCTTACCACTGTTTGAAATACTATTTTTCAGACATAAAATTAAGAGAGAGGTTATACAAGTGGTAAACAGCATGTAGCCAAAGCAGTGCCTGCGATCTTTCTGCAATCCTTGATTGATTCCAACCCTAACTACAGTGCCATTGATTATATGGGTTTGACCTGACTCCTGCTGTGGGCTTTGGACACCATGACAATTCCTCTGCAGACCATAAAAAGTCAAAAACTCCACTGCCCCACAGGGGTCCTGAGTTAAGCCACGCCTTGGCAAGAGACATAACCTCAATCCCACACTAAACCCTAAGGCTTGAAACCCTTAACACCAAGCCCCCTCAGTACCAATGCCCTGAGCTCTTCTCACTGGTGCTGTCTCACCCTGTGCAGTGTATCTTGTATCATTCTTTCAAATAAATCATTGATCCTGTATACTCGCTACTCTTGCTGTCCTGCTGCTCTTGGATGTCTTTGTTTGGGACATTAAGAAGCTAGACAAGAAGCTCACGCAGGTAACACTGAGAAGGCTGAAATAACAGACTTCAACCTGAGAATCCAGAAGTATCCAAAGCCATACCACAAGAAGGAGGCTGTCAAGGTAGCTGCTACTCCTAATGCAATCAGGAAGCAACCTGTTGAATGGGACCAGACCATGTTTCTCTTCTACAAGACACACAGCCAAAAGTAGCCACTGCATTCCACCTGTCTCTCCACTTCAAACATCTTCAAAGTGCATCTGGCTGGTAGAATCCTACTCACGTCTGGACCTTTAGATGCAAAAGACTCTTGGGAATGTTTTGACTTCTTGACCTCTTTGGGAAAGGAAGCCTGACTAAAAGGATGTTGGGGTAGATAGTGAGCTAGTCAGTGGGGCTCCATCTCCATCACAGAGTGGATGCAGCCTTGTACAACTGGATTGTGAAAGAAAATGGAATACTTAATATCTCCTTGGGTCTTGTCTGGAATTATATCATATTGTCTCCTTTACTTTAGACATCTTTCTTCTGACTTACTAAGGGTTCATTTCAACTTCACTTTTCTTACTTCTAAATTCTTGAGGATACTCAGTATAATTCTCAGTATCCAACAATTATTATATCTCAACAGAAAGAATCGTTTTTCACAGTGTAGAAGCTACCGGGTGGAAGGAAGAATACAAAACTGAAAAGATCCCTTGATCTAAATCAGGGAGCCACGGGCATGAATACACCCCCAAAATAGATAAGTGGTAAAATCAATGGTGCATCGTCTTCTCCCCTTGTTTTAAGGAAAGCAGAAAGTAACCCAGCCAGGTTATTTGTCAATATGAAGTTTCTCGAGATTCAGTCAAGTTCATCATGCTTTCTTGAGAAAGTCGAGTTTCACCTCAACTTTTGCTTATCACACTATAGAAACGATTAATGAAAAAGGCAAAAATCAAGAAAGGTACTTTTTAGGAGTATGCAACACAGTCATGCAATGCTTTCCTGAGAAAGTTACAAAGCACTTTGTTATGGAGTGTATCTAGATGTCCCCCTAAGCCTCAAGCAGCCTTAGATGGGCTTTTTCTCAGAGGTTGCTGAATCTAGAGGGTGTGATGTTGGGATTAAGGATGTGTGCTCCCTAAATCAGTGCACTGATTGGTTTGGCACTGCCCTAATCCCAGTAGCCTGGATACGAGTATAAAAGGTCCAGGAATATGCTGTAAGGTCCTTGTTGCTTTTGCTGTCTTCCACGCCCAAGAAGGGTTGCTCCTTTGCCATGTGCCACCCTGCCTTGGAGCCACCAGATTATGGACTGAAACCTCCACAAACTGTGAGATACATAAACCTTTCCTCCCTTAACTTGTGGGTGTCAGGTCTTTTGTCTCAGCAACGAAAAAAGTAACTAAGACACAGTTCAAGGCATGAATGTGAAAATTAAATCATATTATAAGTATATCTTTCTCTTTCCAGACTCATTTGTTTTTGGGTATTTGAAGGCCAAATTGTAATTAGAAATTGGGTGCCTAGAGCTCACATTCATAATTCTGAATCTGCAATTTCATAAGGTGTCTAGATTAAAAAACTTAATAAGTTTTCATCCCACAGACCCTACAACCTTTCAAGATGGCTCAGCTGCCTCAATCAGGATATCCAGAAATAACCTGAAGATTTAGGAGTAAGGTCTTTTTAGACGGAACCTTAGCAGCTCTTTTCACAAAGTCATATGAGTCTTTTTCCCAGCCTGAGCTGCTTCCAGGTTGCTCCCTGGAGGCCTCCTAGACAGCTTAATAGAGTGAAACTTCCTTGGAATTGGACAAATCAAGCAATTCACTGCTGCAGATCCTGATCCTGGGATGCACTGTTAATTTTCTGCTTCTTGTTTTTATTCCTCTAGAGTCTAGGACACTGCTTGGGTGCCTTGGTTGCTCAATAACTTACTCTAACTCCTTCAGCACTTCCGCTAATGGACAGCGCTCCGCGGAGTTTGGTCTCAATAGCACACAGCCTTCTCAATGGACCCAAATTCTGTGTGAAAAAAGTAAGACTGTGTGATACTGTATTACATCATATTTTTCTTCAAAATCACTTGCAGTGCCTTCTTGGGAGCAGGTGAATGCCAGGGATGCTATTCAGTAATGCCTAAACTCATGTATGGTAAAGCCATTGATTTCCCCTTATCTGAGTTTTTCTAAAAGTACCAGGGCAGATGCAACAATAGTAATAGCATTATTGAGCATCTGCTGTGGACTAGGAGCATTGTTTTAAGATGTTTATGCAAACTAATTCATTTATACGACTGCTCTGTGAGATACCTACATAAAATATTGTTATAGTATAATATTCCACTAACATAAAATAATGTTACATCCATCGTATGGATAAAGAATCTGAAGGACAAGTGATTAAATGATCCAGCACATATAAAACACTTCAAACAGTGCTAGGAGCCAAGCTGATTCGATAAATGTTAGTTATTATAGTCACATAATTAATGAATGGCAGAGCTGGGATGAAAATCAAAGCACTCCACTTACTTAACCACTACATTCAACTGCTCCACCTGTGTAAACTGAGCTCTAAGGACAGTCTTCAGTACCCTATTGTTATTCCAGACAGATCGGGGTCCAAGATCTGCTAATACAAAGATGTTAGTCCTTTTCTTAAGGATCTTTGATGTCTCCCTGTCACCCACAGGATGGGGCCAGCTCTGTATGATGCGACCTTTATGACTTATCACCATGTCATCTGAGCCACCGCTTCCTGAAGCCCATATTTCAGCTCTATTGTCCTTCTATGTCAGTATTCCAAGCTCTCTCTCTCCCCGTTTCTCTCTCCTTTTTTTAGTGCTCTTTCCTAACTTCCCCACCTAACGTTACCAGTCAGTAAAACTCCTCCTGAAGCCCCTTCCCCGGCCCTGACCCCGCCCCACAGCACTGTCGGCTTACCTCCGTGCCCCGGCAGGAAGTTCCTCAAACTTCCCTTATGGCCCCAGCTGCACTGCGTTAAAGCCTCATGGTTTGCATGTCAGCCTTTCCCACCAGATTTTCCACCACTTGAGAGGAGGACTGCAAGTACTGATAATTCAAAAAACATTCATAGAGGCCGGGGATATAGCTCAGCAGCGAAAGCACCTGCCTGGCAAGCGTGAGGTCCTGAGTTCGATTCCCGGTACCAAAGCAAAACAAAACAAACAAACAAACAAAATTCATAGGACAATTATTGTTATGTGCCAGGCACAATATTCATTATACCTACATGATTTGATTGGTCTTATAGCTAGAGAATTTCCTCTTCTGCATTATTTCACATCTTAGTTTGGGTTTCCCAGAAGCTGACTTTGAGATAAGGATCAAAGTCCAAATAGCTTAGGAGGCACAAGAAACACTGATGGTGAGGGGAGGCGGGTGATAAGACGGGGTGAGCGAAGCAGTGAAGAGCCGTTAATCCAGTAAGGACCATGCGCAGTTGGAGCTCAGGGCTGCGGTGAGCTTGGGGGGATGGTGTAACACACTCTCACGGCTACCCACACTAGAGGAGGGGTTGTTGGGTATTTGTACATCAAGTCCCATCATCTCTGATTGAAAGTTTGCAGAAATATTAATTTCCTCATCCCTTCTCCTCATCTGCCATTTGGTTAGTGGGAAGAGCACCTCACTCTAGAAACGTTCTCAGGAAAATAGTGCAGGTACCAGCAACTGGAGGGGAGCAGAAGCATGTCAGAGGCGCAGGAGGAGGCATCTGGGTGAGGCGCCATAGCCCCTGCTGTCTTACCACTCTGAAACTCCTCAAGGTGTGGAGAAGGAAAGGGACCTAAAATTTGGAAAGGCTTCAAATCATTCTTGCTTGATGGTAGAGGCTGTTATCTCCTAGATCTCAACACAAATTGTGTCTACGGACTAAAGAACATAGGAAGCTGAAAGTGATGTGAGACTGAACCAAGGGATGAAATATAACATAATAAGTTGGTTTGGGCTTTACGTGTGCATTATACATGAGGTTATAACTGCAAGGAATAGGAAAATATTCTTATGAATTCCTCACTCACTCTATGCTTGCTATAAATCAAGAATGTTTTAAAAAATTTAGTGAAAACAAAATGAGTACACCCTGCCTGCAAATGGAAAACATGGCCTTTAGTCATGGCTATAAATCAAACATAAAGACATTTTCCGATCAACTTAATAAGGAAGTCTGCAGCTGGAACGTGTCCACTCCAGAGGGAGAAACGTCTTAAGAACCCAAACAGTCCTCTGGTATGACTGCGCTTACTGTCTCAAGATCCCTTTGGAGGCTTTGTAAGGGAGTTTTATGGAGACCAAACCAATACAGGGGCGAAATATAAATGGCTGGGATCTATGATAATAGCTACATTATTTCTTTAATTTTCTGCAGCAGTGTTTTCACAGTTTTCTTAGCAAGGAAAATACAAGTTTTAAAAATAGCTACTTGCATGGAGTTGTCTGATTTACCTCATTCAGGGCAAACTACTTCTGTAAGGTGGCACAGCATGGACTGGGAAAGTGGCACAAAACTGAAACAATCAACACAGGTACAAAAAGTAGAAAAAATTTAAAGGTAGGGGTAGAGGGTTCAAAGGGTCCCTGAGCGAATTTATCTGAGTGATTTTAACATCTGTAGTGATCAGCTTTCCGTTGCTGTGACCAAATACCCGGGAAAAACAACTTAGAGAAGGAGAGATTTTCTTTGGTTCATAGTTTCAGAGATTTCAGCCCACAGTCAGCTGGCTCCAAGGCAAAAACAGGATGGTAGTGGGATATGCAGGGGAGGGCTGCTCACCTCCTGGCAGCCAGGAGTCAGAGAGAATGAAAGAACCAGCACGGAAGGGGCAGGGACAGAAATAGCCCGGAATCTGAGCCCCAAGTATGCATTCTCTTCATCTAGACCCCGCCCCCAAAGTCCTCCTCAAATCTCAGTAACGCCATCAAACTGTGCTCTCATCAGTGGATTAATACACTGATGAAGTGGAAGTACTTTGGATCTAATCACCACTCCAGGAGTGTTTAATCCAATCAAGTTGACAAGATCAACCATCATGACAGCACCCACTCCTGTTCATGATAAACAAGTGCTCTCCACTGAGCTACACTCCTGTTTCCTAACTTCTCTAATAAAAAATATTACAATAAACTCAGTGATGAGCTGTACCCTACTTAGTTAAAGTGGTTCATTTAGATTCCTGAGATATCCTGTTATATTTCTCATCCTCTCTTCACTCTGACTGTGTTCAGTGATTTATTTCCACAGAGACTTAAAGCTATCTTGAAACCAGGAAGTGCTTTCCAGAGGGCAGATGTGACCATATCTATCATTGTAAAAGAGCAACTCAGATTATCATAAATTGATGCAAAACAACCAAGTACTATTGACTTAACTCTGAAGACGTTTTTGGTAAACTGAGAAAGTCAAGTTCCTAAATCACAACGCGAAGAAACAGACTTGGCAGTGTGATCTCACTAAATTAAAGCCAAGCTATGATGCCTTGTCCCGTTAACCCCTACATCTTCAAACTGGACAGCAGCACACACATGTGAAAGACCTAGACAAGAAAATCTTCTCAACCCTCAGAGGTGAAGAAGATCAGTTAAACATTAATGGCCCAGCATTTGGAGAGAGGATAAACAAGATACACTGCATCTCTACTTTGATTTGTAAAATGTGAATAATTGCAATATAACTTCTTGTCACAGAACTAAAACTTGTGTATACCAATAAACATGGTCCTTCAAATTCATCCTAAGTATCTATATGTTCCTACCATCACCCACGACAAAAAAGAAAGAAAAGCTTACTGTTCAAATGTTTTTTGGAGCTTTGCTTTAGAAATTTCCCTCAGAGCTATTGGAGTAATAAAAGTTTATTGTTGAATGCCACAGACTATGTGGCACACTGTTAGGAGTTTGTTAACAAGAGGGATGCATTTTGAGAAATGCACCATCAGGCGTGTTGCCATTATGTGCGCCTACCGTAGGGTGTACTTACACAAACCAACCTTACCGCTCACCTGGGTTATATGACATCCATATGTTCCAGCTTATTGCTCTAGGGCCATGATTAGCAAAACAACATGAGATTAAATGAGGCATAAGGGGAAATGATGCAATCAAAAGTTGCAGTGAAAATGCGGTGTGTGGGGCTTCTGCCTACATAGCACGGCAGGCTCTTTTACAACAAACTTTTATAGGTGGAAGGTTCTCTAAAATAACATTAAAAGGCATGGCAAAAACATAAACTGGTAACATTGTCATATATTGTTAAGTACTCTACATAACTGTGCTAAACTTTCATATGACTGACAAGCAATAGGTTTTTTAAATATACAGAAAAGTATCACCATGGACACGTCAGTAACTTGTGCTGGGACCTTATAACAGCACAGGCCCCACGCAGTGCGTATATTTGGAATTTTCCGGTTTCATTATAATGTTATGGGACCCCCATGGTGTATGTGATTTGCTGCTGACTGAAACACTGTTCTGTAGCAGGCATTGCACCTGTTATGGCAGCCTGAACAGACGGAGGCACACCCCATCACACAACCATCTGCTGGAGGGCAGGAACTGAGTCCATTCTTGCCCAGAGCCCTTAGAACACCACCTTGTGCAGAGGAGGTGCTCAGTGGTGTTTTCTTAGGCTGAGGTATGATATTCAGACTTCTACATTGGAGAACTTGGCAAATAGACTCGAAAACATTCCTTGGGTTTAAAGTACCTAAGGAACAGCAATTTAGCACCAGAACTAAGCTCAGACCTGATGCTTCTACAGGAGGGCTCATGATCCTGTCCACTAGTTCATTTCGACGTTCCTTTCAGAAGAGACAAATGACCGGAAAATAAAGGGCCGTGCAGGGATGGGATGTTTTTAGCAGTGGCGCTGTTTTTGGTTGTGGAACCGTTACAATGCTGTGGATATTACTTGCTTCAGGACCTGGAAAACGTTCCGGGAGCCTTTCTTTCCTCTGGGTGGCAAAGGCCACAAAATCTTACTACCTAGCGAACGCTCGACAGCTGCATGAGAGGACAAATGAATGAACCGACTGATGTTCCATTTAGTAGGTTTAGAAACTCTTACTAAACCATGATACACACAGTCAGAGTTTTATTATTTTCATTGATATTCAATATAATTTTCTATTATGTGGTCTTCAGTCAAATGTATTCTTCACATCATTTTTAATTGTTTTGTTTGACCATTTTTATTCAAGTTTCTCAAAATATTCCCCTTTATGTTTATCTTCTGTTGAAGTGATCAAAATGCAAAAACTTCACAATTGCCAGCCACCAGGCAAGATGTTGCTTTGAATTAATTGGAAGACAGAATTAGGGGAGGATGTTATGCCTGTGCTACAAGTGGTTCAGCTCATTAGGATTTTAATAAGGCACCTCCGCCTGGCTACTTCTGCTGTCCGCCCTTCGTTTAAGTTCACTCTAACTCCTTTCATCAGTTCTTGCCGTTTGATCTGGAATCATTGTGCATCATTTATGTCCCAGAAACAATGCAGCCCCTGTTGGATAGAGTTGATTTCTTCAGTTGAAATATAGAGAAGGAGACAAAAACAACTAGAGTATGTTACATGGCATAATGAATTGCAATGTCTTGTGTCACATAAAATAAAAGGGGAGAGAAAAAGCGGTTATTTCTGCCTTAGAGCAGGGGGCAGCTCAGGTGAGCAAAGTGAAGAGCTCCAGGCAGAGGGAAAGGCAGGGAGAAGGCTTGGTGGTGGGGTGTGCACACGATATTAGGACAGGGGAAGGTCTGGAGACTCGGGCCAGGGGAGGCTGGGAAGGAGCTGCGTTTCCTGCGCTAAAATGAACAGGCTCTCCTTGGAAGCGGCCATGAGAAGCCATTGAGAGCTTCAAGTGGGCAAGTGTCGTGGTTTTAGAAAGAGCCCTCTAATGCGGTGCGGGTGGCTGGGTGGATGTGGGCTGGCTTGGGCAGTGGGGTGGGGATGGAAGAGAGTTCAGCAGCTCTCAGGGCCTCAGTGTTCAGAGAGACGAAGGGGACGTAAGGGAGAGACCCAGGACAGCAGCACACTGTGTGTATTTGGCCACTGTGTACCAAACTCGCCTTGCTCCCCAGTCCCTAAGCACCGCGCCTGGAAACTCTGGATTGTTGGGTTCTGCTTGCCCATGTTTTGCAATTACTCATTCTTTTAGACTAGTTTGGGGTTTGTGGTGAAAAAAGACAGCTGCTGGGTACAATTCGACTTGTCTCTATCTCTAAGAAGAACGACACATGTACTAAGAACAGTGTCAGTTTTCTTCTGAAGATGGCAGTTCTGAACCCTTAAAAAGCCTGAAGTCCCCAGCAGTGCAGTCCTTGCTGGCGTGAGGTCATGCTAGGGCCACCCCACCGCGTCCGGCCTCTCCTCCTGCTCTTCGCCCAGGAATCTCCTCTGCGCTTGCAAAGCAGTGGG